AGGTTTTGGCCAGGTTAGATGGGGGCTTTGAGTAACCCGTTGTGGAAGTTGTTCCTATCCATGGAAGGGTAATTCAAGCCATGCAGTGTTCAGTTATTTTTAGGAAAACAGAGAGGCCACGTCACACCCACAGACAGTTCCTGTCCTGTAACACAGCATTTTTCTTTGTGCAAAGACTAGACTGAACTTCTAAATCGCCATGGTATAACGTACAACTGATCTTGCTTCACTAAAACCCATCATCTGGTTTAGTCTGCGTTAAGCTGGACCAGCAGAGGTGCTAATGTCTCATCTGCAAATGTCTTCCTAAACTTTTCTATTCACCCTTGCCTCAGGATCTGGCAGTGCATATCATGTATGAAGAAATTCACTGTATTTGAAGAGTTCCCTTTCTTGGTTGGGAAATGAAGTGAGTATTCTACTGGCACATAGTCATACCAGCTCATATTTATATTTGGTAGGGTAGAGTCACGCTGTTTTTTTTGTGTAACTTTATGATTGAAGGAGTCTTTTCCATCCATGTCTCTCTTTTTTGTACTTTTCATCATACTCAAAGGAGAGAACATCCTTTTCTTACAAAAAACTAGACACTTGACCTTATGGTGATATTACACCCATTTTTTATTTCCTGAGAGATTCCATATGAAGCCTTTTCTTTCATGGATCTGTACATGTGACTTTTCCCCCATACATGGCTACTTCTTGCAATACTCAGTGATATAAGCATTCAGAAACTTGTCCTCCTTCTTCTCATTTTAGCTGCAACTCTTAGCTCCATGGGGATCCTCAGCTTTTTCTCAACATTTTTATCTTGAACAACAGTCAGTCCAAACCTTATCCCTACTCAAAACCCTACAGGCAACTCAGGGAACCCTAAACTTTAGGTCTGCGTTCTTCAGCACTGCTGCTGAAACAGAAATCACTCATCTTGTGGTTTGCTACAGCATGATTTCAGTGGGGAAAACTATACTGGAGATATAGGATGTACACACTATACAAATGTTATTGCAGGGTAAACATAGTTCCTATGGATATGTTGCATATCGGCTTGTCTTTGTAGATGTTTCCAATCTCATTGCTGAGGTTCTTGCAGAGTCCTCTGGCACTCGTGTAAGCCAGCGAGTGAGTATGATAAATCCTGACCCTAAAGCTGTGCATTAAATCAGCAAAAGCCACAAAGAGGCTGAATTAATACAAACAAAATGCATTTCAGTGAAAGGTCAGGGTGGCCTCATCATGAGACAGGCAGCATAAGCCAAGCCCCAGCAGCCACCTCTTCTGGAATTCCCAGTGATATTTGTTTCTTAGCTTCTCAGAAACTCTGTTACTGAGATCTTGTGAGTTAAGCAGTTTCATTCTGGCAGATCCCACCTCTTTTTTTCTTGTACTTTTATCTGTGGAATGTCGCTCATGTTTTTCCTAAATTGATTCTTTCCTAAATTCATCCTTTTCTTCATTCTCCTCTTCCATGGAGGGCAAGTGCATGCAGATGATTTCATGCACAGGATCTGACATCAAGGATGTGTCTGCGTGTGTATACACATACATACTGTGTATATATTAATACATAGAGACTTACATAAACACACATACAGAGCACATAACCAGGGCTGCAAAACTTGAACTATTTCTGTGTGCGCATAAAAAAAAAAAAAAAGAGGGAAGTGCAGTGTGTGTGTCTTTCCATCACAGTGAAGAATGGATTTTCCTTTGCTATGATCATGTTCATTTTGTGCTACCTGAGAAGAAAAACCTCTGTGCGGCTCCTCTAGAACAATCTGAAAAGCTTGAAAGCTTGGAGGGAAAATGTGGAGTCTGGATGAGTCCAACTCAACTTCAGCAGGTAAAAATGGATGAAGAAATAAATAATCCAAACTTTTTGCAGAACCATATTACCTTCTGGTGTCCTTACAGATAACCAACAGCAGTGTAGATACTGATGTCTTACTCTTCCCTTGTTTCATCCAGTGCCAGATGCTCTGTTCTCCCTTGGGGGTCAGAGGATTTAGTCATGAAGTTCAACTCAGGCAGGCATCCTGTCCCATCTTGTTGGTGTTTTCTCCATTTTGCACATTAAAGCCACTGAACTGACCAACAATTTAATGTTTTGTAGATTGTGTTCATTTGATTTATCCAGCTGTGATGTCTGTACACCGTAGCCTTGTAGGTCCAGGAGGTACAAACTAGTAAACAGTTGCAGCTTCTGCAATAATGCACCCATGCAGGCTACAAGATTTGCAATATGAGAAATAGCTATAACTATTTGTTAGAAGTATGGCAATGATTTTCTAGTGCTCATGTGACTTTCACCTGGTGGAATTCAAATAGCTAAGCTGTAAACAAATGGGAAAAGCATAAGAAAACCAATTAACACTGTATTTTCTTTGAGGTTGAGGGATGACTGTGTAGTTTTAAATGTGAGACCCTGAGAGATATGAAAAGCTGACATAACCCCAGAGAAAAAAGACAGACTCTAGGAATTCTTTGTATATCACTTCTAAGTTTTATTTTTTCTTGTAGCAATTGGATAACAATGGCTGTAACTGTTTATATTATTGTGATTATGTCAAAATTTGTATTTTCAATGAACAATTAAAATCTGTACCAAACCACCAGTAAATTCCTGGCTCCGTGTAGGTGTGTTCCCCTTGTTTGCCTTTGATGAAGAAGGCAATTAAATTTAATAAGAGTTTACAGAAATCTTGCAAAGGTTGTGTTCATAGCTGTTTATATAGTAAAGTAACTGAAATCATCAATTTTTTTTTTAAGCCCAAGAATGGTGCAGAGTGTAATATAGGATCAAATCATCCTGAAATAATTGTAGTTTCTTTAACAACTTTCAAGGAATATGTTTGAAAGCGAGCTATGGAGTTCATGACATACATCACCAAGTCCTCACCTTGCCTGTTGTGCCTTGTTGTGAACACACACTAGGACATGTTCAGCCTCCCCATCAACAATTCACATCTCAACACTTTTCACTTGTTTGCTTTCACTTCTCTTTTCTGCAATACGAGGCAGTAATGGAGCGAGTGAAGTTCTACACTACAGTTGCAAAATATTACTTTAGATATAAATTTAAAATACTCTGCACAGAGAAAGATGTGTGATTAGTAGAATATGATGCTTGAACCTTCGTGTTAAAACATCATGTTCTAATTCATGCACATTTGTGTTTGACATCAGTCATTGTAGAGACTATATCCCTTAGACAATGTGCCTGAGTGAAGTATGAACTCTACAAACATAAGTTTGGGAAGGTGATGAAAGGCACAGGACATAGTCACACGTTTGTTAACAACTACATTTTGGTGAGACCATCTGGTTTGTGTCTGAGACAAGGCATCAACGCTACATTGCCAAGAGTTAACAAAGAACCAGTTCTTAGGTCTTGTGTAAATTCTGCATCAATTATTACAACTTTCTTCTGTTTCTTTTTAGGGCTATGCAGTTCATTTGTCTTTTCAGTTGTAAACATTTGTTGAGTGGCTTTTTCAGTCAGGTTTTGATGACTGACATCTTTCTTCTAAGTTCGGGTGCCATCTTATTCAACAGCTTCTCTTTTGTAATAGATAAAATAGAGATAATATATGTAGGCAAATAGTATCATCTAAATATTTGATTTTCTCTTCCACTTGAGGAAGTTACCTGTTTAACAAATAGCTCATTTAAAAGAAAAACAGAAGAAAAAAAAGCCCAACAAAACACTTGTAGAAGTTACTTCAATTGTTTCATGTAATTCTTATTTCAAACATATGATCTGTGATTTTTCCACAGTTAGCTTAAAGTCCTAAAGTGCTAATATATCTTAGTGTGTTCCTCTGTTTGAAACACTTTCACACTACTTCTGCTATTGAATTTGTTTTGTATTCACCCCACCTACATTCCCTTTCAAGAAATGCACGTTTACCCAAAAGCTCATCAGTGCTTTCTTTTCAAGCAGCAGGCTCTCTTACTGAGGTTTGACTGAGGTATCTCTCTGCTACCTTAGGCTCTTGAGAATAGAACAGGATCAGATAGGGTCATCTCAGGTACTCAAATAAGTGTTTTCTTTGTCACATTGAATTTTTATCTCTGAATAAGAAAGAGATTTGAAGGGTGGACTATTCAGTGGATAAGGAATAAATTGGATGGTTGCAGCCAAATCGTTGTGGTCAACAACTCTAGGTTCACCCTGGGAACAGTGCTCTTCATAGTCTTTATCAGTGACCTATACAGTGGGATGTAAGGCTCCCTCAACAAGTTTGCCAATGACACCAATTTAAATGGGGCAGCTGATACATTAGAAGGAAGGGACAGCATCCAGAGGGACCAGAACAAGCTTGAAAAGTGGGCACAAAATAAAATAATAAGGTTAACAGGAGCAAGTGCGGGATGTTTTTGCAGTGGGAGTGGTGAGGCACAGGAACAAGTTGCCTAGAGATGTTTTTGATGCTCCATCCCTGGAGACTTTCAAGGCCTGTACCAAGCCCCGGGCAACCTGATTTAGCTGTGCATGTCCCTATTCATTGCAGGGGAGTCAGACTAGATGACTTTTAAAGATCTCTTCCAACTCTAAAGATTCTATGATTTTGTGTTGCACTTGGATAGTGGAAATCCCAGATATGAGTAAAGACTGGTAGAAAAACTCATAGAGAGCAGTGCTGCAGAGAAGGACTTCCGGGTTCTGATGGGCAAACAGAGGGACATAAGCCAGCAGTGTGCACTTGCATCCTGGAAAGCCAACAGCCAGCAATATCCTGTTGTGTCCATAAGAAATTCATTGGTCAGCTCTATTCCTTGGAGTTAATTTTCCCGAACATTTTAGAAACCTTTTTTATCTGAAGTTTCTACTTTATACTTCTTTTTACCTTCCATAGAGGCATTGACTGTTTGACTACAAAAAGTGTAAATTCCCTGCCACACCTACTATTTTTATTCCCACCTTCCTTTTGCTGCATTGCAAAGGTTGATAGGTAACCTTTGGAAATAAAAACTTCCTTTTTATGATCAAGAAAACTGATCAGTCCAAAGTCCAAAGGTGTCAGAATCCTTCTGAGCACTGCCGACAGATCTAAGAGCCCGCATGTGGATTTCAGTAAGGTGCAGCTGCATTTGTGGAAATCTAAAGCAGTACTATTGAAATGCAGGTCTGTATTTCTCTTTGACACAATTAGTAGTTTATTTAGATGCTTCTGTAAGTAAGAGCTCTGAATAATTCCCCTGTCTCCTGCAGTTGTTGTATTGTATTGACTTGATTGGCAGATATTTCAGATGTTACCATGAAAAATCTCTTGGGATTATACCTGGGAGCTGCTGAGCAATGTTTTGTGTGTGGTTTTATACGGTGAACTGTTGTTTGTTAGGCACAGTAAAAACCTCAACCATATCTTCTAGACTATCTGTCTTGAAGACATACTTTCTTTTTGAGTTAGCTCTGGACTCAAAATCAAGTTTAGCAAAGGGAAATCCACACTCATCAAGTGAGATGTGGTTGTACAGTCCCTTTGGTAAGACTCAGATGCGACTGACGGCATGAAATGGGAACGGATCCCTTAATCCCCTTAATCCTCTCCTCCATTTTGTCATCTTTCTTTGCAGTGAGGCATTACTTTCATTTCTGATGTTCATCCTTCTCTTTGTCCCTGCTTGTAGCTGGTGCACTCCAGAGTTTTCTCTATTGTCCTTTCAGTGGCAATGCCACAGCAAGGATAGCCATGAAGGATGACTTGGTAGGCACTTCAATCCCTGTTGTTTATTTTCATTGCTTTTTTGCTATATGCATTTTTTTTTTTCTTTTTCCCCCCCCCCCCCCCCCCCCAATGTATTGCACTGTTTCTTTTCCTATTTCTTCCTATGCATCTCACCTCTTGTGTTTCTATTAGAGTGATAAATATGAGAGATGGATATGATACAAAAAATATACATAATAGATATGATACAAAAAAAAGAAGAGTGAAAAAAATATATCTCTAGTTACCTTGACAACAGAGAAAGACCTTTAAACAGTGTGTGAACATCCAAAGGAATGAAAAGACTAATTTAATAAAAGCAGTCAAAAATGTGCCAAACTTTCACATTCTTGATGGCTTTATTAATGGACTTAAATTTCTCTTCAAAAAGTAGGACTCATGCCACATATCACGAGATAGCTAAATGTTAGGCTTCTAAGCTTGTTTGGCTTTTCTGTCTCCCTTTACAGTTAGTGAAGAAAAAGAGTTACCTCTGGTTATATGGAATTCTTCTGCTATAAAAGTGACCTTATGGCATGCTGAAAAAGTGTTGGTCTTAGTTATTATGACCAGGGGAATCTCTAAAAAATCCTCAGGGGAGTTTGGACGGGCTAGAACTAAGGAGAGGTTCCATTTTATCCAAAATGGATCCAAAGAGAAGTTGAAGAAAATGCCAATAGCAGCATGTCTTTATTTAATATACTTTTAGGTTATCCTTTGTTAGGGATATTTATGGAATTCCATGGCTAGAGTTGGATTCCCAAAACAAGAAAAGTTGCTGGGTTTGTAATTTCACTGTCTTGAAACAATATATATTCCTGGTTCAAGAAATAAAGATTTAGGAGACTTCAGTGTTCATACCATAGCTTTATATTTCTAAATACGACGGATTTTATGTCCTGCTTTAAATCAGTATCATCTTTGCCATCAGATCCAAAGGGCCAGCCCAAATCTCTCAGCTGTGTAGGCCCCCACATCCTTTATTTTTCCTTTAGACATTGACTTTTCCCTCTCATACAGGTATGGAGCTGACAGCAGCCATCTTCATCTTGGTGTTGGCATCTAGACTCCAGCCCATTGCAGGTAATTTTGCTCTGTAATGGATTAATTTCCCTCTGTGCCGAATTCTTTTATGAGACTATGAATACATAGGATGACACCCATAATTCTTTTCCTCTCCAGAAGGTCCAGTTTTAGATGATTTATTTGAATTTCAGGCAATACAGATGCATGTTCTGGGATTTAGTGTGCTCAACTGTGGGTATTAAAACTGAGCATCTGAGTGCTCAGTTGTATCTGACTTTGTGTAGTTGACAGGAGACAGGCATAACATAATTAATTTATCCTATAGTACTCTTCCAAAGGAATTAATCACTCTGTAGGGAGTGCATTTTCTCTACAAAATGATTGCCTCAGTGAAATGCATATATTTTGAACAGCTAAAATTTGATGAGATGAATATACTCAACTAACCTGGATAGTTGAACCTAACTCTAACCCTAAACCCTAAGTTGAACTCCATCCTAAACAGTAATTCTAAACCCTAAATCATAACTCTAATACTAACCCTATCTTAACTGTTACTGTGGCAGTTGTGCATGAGTACATGATTCTGGTCATTTAAGAAAGAGATAGCTTTTAATAACTTCTATTTCAAGCTCATTCATGTTGTTTAATTCTCAGACTTGTCCTCTACAATCTGGCTGACCAGAGCTGTGGCAATACTTGCTAAAATTGTATGATAAGGGCTGCAGCTTCAATGGGCAAACTGCTGCTAGGACTTCATAAATGCAAAACTTCTCGAAGACTGCCCTTTAAAATTACCTGCTTATGAATTTCCTCTATAGGTGTTGGCCATGATCCATTGCTTGTTGTAGATGATTATGAGGATGGTGGCATTCGACTCAAATGTTTATCTGAAAGGTTGTTTTCTGAAGCTCAACTGTTGTGGACAAACAGTAGAGGAGACAACATCACAGGAACTCCTCTTTCTGCTGACACCAGCACTGCCACTGTCAGCAGCTCCATCATTCTCAAAGCAGGATCTGGAAACTCTGCGTCCTGCAAAATTATAGATAAACAACTGAAAACATCAACAGAATCTTCAGTTGCCATTGCAGGTGGGTATGAGCTTCCAGCTTGTAGTGAGCTAATGTACGCAGACCAAATTGCCCCAGGAACACAGATTTGTGGTGGTACAGAGTAAACAGTTTTCTTCCATAATTTTTTTATTTGTTGGTTGGTTCAGTTTTTTGCTGCTGTTATTTTTTGTTTTTGCTTTCCTCTGAACAGCCATTAGCTTCCTTGTGTGACAAACTGAAACAGGAACAAACAAACAAAGCACAAAAATATCCTTCCATGGATGTGATGTTGCATGGGGAAAATCAACTGCTGTTATCAGATGGTGCCTATTCTCATTTGCAGGGATGGGGAAAGCTATTGTCACACCTCTGTCTCTTTCCCTTTCATTTTCTTCCACTTCTTTTTCTATTGCTATAACACTTGGTGTGGGTTAGACAAACCTCTGATGACACAACAAAATATCTCAGCGATATGAAAGTCCTGGTGAACTGCTCCTACGTGTGTCTATGAATGCAAAACTTTGATCCAAATTCATTTTGTTTCACTTCAGACACATAAAAAAGTTTTGTTTGTTTGTTTGTTTGTTTTTTATCATCCAAAGGAGTTCAACAGACTTCTCCAAAAGTGATTCAGAGTGCGGTATCTAAAGTAATGGTAAATCAGCTGTTGTTGACAGAGATGATTTTTTAATTGGAACGTGGCTAACCTTATTATTAATCATATTACTATTACTACTAGCAGCAGCAGTATTATTTATTAATATTTATTATTTTATTATGGGCTTCCCAGTAAAATTAAATGTGGTTACAACATATTGCTACAGACATACAACACATATGCAGTGTAGTACACATACAACACTTTTAGCACAAGCAGTTACCAACTCAGCTATACATTTAGCCTTGTTAAAAGCTTTTAAAAGAGCCTGACAATACAACTTTGAGATTTCATCAAGTAGAGCCATGATCTTATCTTGTTCTGGATCGTGATACTCTCAAGGTTGTTTCCAGGCTTATGCTGATGGTTTGCCTCGTTGAAAATGGCCATTAAACTATTGAAACCAGACATCAGCAATGAACAGAGAGTACATCAACAGTTGGTTCTGCAAGAAAAATGATAACTGATCCCCTGAATAATTTGCAGATGTCTTCTTTCCTTCTACCTCCCCTTGGCTGGCGGCTTTTGTTGTGATCCTGCTCCTGAGCATATTCCTGGTCCTCGCTGCATTTTATAAAATCAGAAGTAAGTTCTACTTATAATGACAAATGCAGTCTGGTTGAAAACATTGCCATCTTATTCATAATTATCTGGGGAGTGTGCAGGGTAATGGAAAATCACACCTGTGATTTTTCAGCCTTGACTCTTCAAAGTATTTCTACAATTCTACATTTCTCACATTCTATTTACTTTTTTAAGCAACTGTAAACTACTCCGACATCTTAGAGTATAAACCTATAAAATCATGTCCTAGAAGATAAATCAATGCATTACTGTAGTGAAATAATTACTTCAAATTAATCTCATTACTGAAATAGTAAAATTCTTTCAAGTACTTGAAATATGTCACCATACCCAAAGATATCCACTGGTTCCATTTGTTTGCAAGCTATTTTATTGCTTTATATAACAGTTCCTAAGACAGTTTAGCAACACAAATCAGTTGCCAATGAAGTACACTGGCTGATGCTTTTCTTTTAGCATCACTAATTTTATTCATTACATTGTGAGTGATTTCTCGTAATTTTAATGGAAAGTATATATAAACCAAGATATTTTGGAAATAACTTTTCTTTACCAAACAATGCACATGACCACTATAGAATATCCAAGGTTTCATGTGAAACCCTACAAGTAAACAGGGAAGAAAGTTGGATAACATTTTCTTTCTCCCTCTCCACCCCTTTCTTCTCTTTCAGATAACAATAAGGAAATCACTCGTGCAGGTAAGTAATACTGATACCACTTTTCATCACCAATAGAGACAGCAGTATAAACATAGTTAGCCAGTGGTATAAACAATTGAGTTAATTAGTTGTATTTCTAAAGCTGTTTAATGAAAGCTTTCTAAAGATTGGAATTTAGGTTTGGCCAATCTATGTACTGTCTGTTAATGTGGAAAGAAGCAGTTAATTTCTTTTTGTTGCTGATCACCCTGCATGCATAACCTTGGCAGGCTTTCTTACCGTAACCAACCATGTATCTAGAAGTTTTCCACTCGCAGAAAATTGATTTTTTGGCCATTTCCCTAGCTGTCATGTCCAGGCTCTTTAAAGCAGTAGAATATCTTCAGTGAAGAAATGCATTGCATGTGAAAATTGGACACTCATAAAGTGTTTGCAATAGAAAAGTCAGTCAAAAGAAAAGAGAAAATTGTATGACTTAGTTCAGATGGTTGCATCCTTCTCAGCATTAGTGATGGATATCTGATTGCAGTTCAGAGCAGGAACCAAACTTATCCTTCTGAGTTGTAGTGGGGGAAATCTTTACTATGTAATGACTACAGGTACAGTGAAGCTAGATTAAGGTTCTTGGCCTAAAGGTGATCATTAATTCTAAACAATCCAAACATTCATAATGCTGAGCAATTTGTTTTATTGTTGTTCTTTCTGTTTTCTGTTGTTTTGGGTCATTTTTTTTTTTAATGTTTGTTTTAAGAACCTGATGGTTTGGATGAATACTTTCATCAATTTCTGAGTAGTTTTAACGTTCAGACTTACAGAAGAGATACAGAATAAATTCAGTGTCTGCTAATGATAAGTCTAATGATAAGTCTAAATAAAAGAATTGTTCTCTCTGCTATACTTGAGGAACTGAACTGCTATCCAGAAACTATACAGAAATTTGCATACAAGCATGAATGTTTTGGATATGTAAAATTGGGAGTTAGCCCTCAGAAAGTTTTATTGAAATTTGTATCATTGCTGGAAAGTTTTTCATCGCTTTTCAAAGAATCATAGAGACTGAAAGGACCTCTGGAGTTCATGAGCAGAGAAAACAAGGCTTGATGTCAAATTGGTTGTGCTTTATGTCTATTGCTTTTGTTTCAAACGCTTCATGAGGCAAGTTTAACTTGGGAAAAAAAAAATTGCTTCTGTCAGTGACTGCACTGCAATTGTTTAAACTGAGACTATGAAAAAAGTAATTTATTTTTAAGTCTACTCCCTAGTAAAACCAACTAATAGCTTATGTACATATGTATATAAATGTAATGCAAATACACTCGTACAAATATCCAAAGAAGTCGTTGTGGTTTAATCACTCCTGTGCAGTCTTTAAAACTGAATGCTGAGTGTTTGGAGAATTTTTTTTTAGGATCTAAGCGTATTGATTTCTGTTCACAGAAAAAGCACGAGAGCAAATTCAACAAGGTAAGTCTGACAGTGTTTTTTCCTAGTGATTTCTCCCTATAAATATATAATTCTTTAGGAATAGCTGAAGGTTGAGCTCAGGAGATATTTGTAGCTGTACTGTTTTTGCATCAAGTTCCCTTTTATATAATCCATGTAAAGATAAATTCCTAAGAGCATCTGGCTTGAGAAGTATTTTTGGTCAGTATTTGAGCTTGCAAATTGCTCCATCAGTGAATTAATATAATTTAATACATTCTTAATTTGGGATCATTGTTCATGATTAGTTCCAATTTATAAGGAAAAGAAGATTTCAGTTCCAGAGCCTGGAAAAGTAAAAGAAAATATATAGTTTTCTGAACTCTTTATGAAAAATCTAGGAGCTTTGTTACCAACTAGGACTACATTGTATAAATATAAACCCAGCGTACTGTTTTGACTCTGGACAGCAAGTTTGCTTGGCATGCAAATTATTTCAGAGAGTGAAAAGTAGTAGTTTTCTAATATTTAATTAAAATCTTTTTCAGACATAGATAAACTCAAACAGAAATTGGGTAAGAGCATATTTTGACTTCTCTTTGTTATATTGGTTTTGAAGATTGTTAGTTAGAAAAACCCTTTTTTTCATTAAAAAATAAAAAATAAAAAGGATCATGAAAGTGGGTCCACAGTGAAAATGTTTTCCTTTTCCAGATTTTCAATTATTTGAAGATAGTAATAGCAGTTAATATTAATACCATCTGGTTTTAGCCAATGGATTTCATATATCTAAGCTAATCATTTAGACTCCTTCTACAGTAAATAGACAGGGATAGTTGTCTCCAGCAGATCAATTTTGATGACCTACTCGTGTGTCTTACATTTTATTCTGAGCTTAATAATAGGCCTCATTTCCCAAAATGAAAACACTCTTCACCGCTGAAATTCTCAGTCAGATTTTGTCAATTTTCATCTTGAGAAATGAATTTCACTGTTATTTATGCTTTGTTTCTTTACTCTTCAGAAGAGCAAAAGACGAGATTTCAGAAGGGTAAATCAATTTTTTTTTTCTACTTTTCTACTTTTTTGTACTTTTATCACATTATTCTAATAAAACAGTGATGTTTCATGCATTTTGAACAATAGAATTGGAAAATACTCTAAGAATTTATAACTTGCAAAGGTTAACTTCCCTTATCCAACAAAAAAATAATTTGAATTTTGTGTTACACATGTACGTATAAACACCATCCCTATTTTTATCCATAGGTATATATACATACCTATGTATCTCTATATAAAAAGCATCTATCTATCTTACTAAATATAGTTACCTGTATATAACTATATCTATTTAGATGTTCTACACATACAGACAGATTAATCCCATACATAAAGTGTTCTATAAATTTAATATCCTATAATTCTATGAGTGCAGCATAATTCACCTATCTTCCTAAAAGTCTTCCTAATTTTCATGGGCTTTTAATTTTGTTTCTTTGTAGAAAATGAGGATGCAAAGAAAAGAATTGGTAAGGATAATGTTTACTTCAAAAAGTCCTCAATTATTAAAGTTTTGTTTGATCAGAAATGCTATTTTAGAATTGACTAGTGAAACATTTTGAGATCTTTAAAAGACTAGAGGTCCGTCTTCCTCCCTTTCTCTTCATGCTTTGAGCACTTCCCTCTCTTTTCATGCTTTGAGGCTTAGTTGTTCCCTAAAAAAAAGACACAATCTTGGTCCCTGGTACGTCTATTTCCATAGTAAGGGAGTATCATTTACGGAGTCCATCAAAGGTTCAATTTTTTCAATGTTTTTTTTCTGTAACTGAGAAAAAATGTCTCTTTCTACTAACTAACTGACATATTTAAAAAGGAATAATATTTATAGAGAGACACACAAACATACATTTATATGCAGTTTGACTCTTGGCTATATAAAATTTCTGTTTGGTGATGTGAAGCATATCCACAGCCCCTGTAAATCCTTACAAGTGGGACACTAAGGCTAAGGCAATATTCTTGGCTTCCACACTGACAGATGAAAACATTCGAGAGTGAGGTGGTTGAAACAGCAGAGAGTAAATTTTCTGATGTACCCATCTCTTCCTTCTCACAATGGGTCAAGCCAAGTGCAAGGTCTTGCATCTGGGTTGAGGCAACTTCCACAATCAATACAAGCTGGGGAGGTAAGGATGGAGCACAGCCCTGTCAAAAAAGACCTGGGAGTAGTGGTGGATGGCAGCTGGATGGGAGCCAGCAGTGTGCTCTTGCAGCCCAGAAAGCCAACTGTTTCCTGGGCTGCATTGAAAGCAGCATGACCAGCAGGGTGAGGGAGGGTGATCCTGCCCCTCTGCTCTGTGCTATGAGACCTCACCTGGAGTTCTGAGTCCTGCCTGTTTGACAGAACAAGGGGAAACTGTTTCAAATTAAAAGATAGGATATTTAGATTGGACATAAGGAAGAATTTTGTTACAGTAAGGGCGGTGAAGCACTGTACAGGTTGCCCAGAGAGGAGGTGGATGCCTCTCCCTTGGAGACAATCAAGGTTAGGTTGGACCAGGCTGAACAACCTAATCTAGATGTAGATGCCCTTGTTCACTTCAGAAGTGTTAGACTGGATGAACTTTAGGGGTCCCCTCCAACACAAACAATTCTACAATCCTATGACTCTACAGATAGCCCAGGTGACTAGCTTGGATTTAGATAACCTCCACTCTGAAGTTACACTAGCATCCTTTCCTGAGTCATAGGCCGAGTCACAAATAATGTAGTATTGGAAATACTCATATTAGCTGAGATTCTACAGGAGAACCTTGCCATACATAGCTATAACATAACTCTCTCTGTTTTTCAGAAAACATCCGGAATGAACTCAGTGAGTTGAAAGTAGAAAATGAATTTTGTCACATTTTCAATTATCAAAATATTTAAATCAAAATGGAGCACTGGAACAGGTTATCCAGAAAAGTCGTGGAGTCTCCCTCCCTGTAGATGTTCAAAAGTCATCTGTCTCCCACAGTATTCTCCAGGAGAAGCTGCAGCACATGGCTTGAAAAAATACATTCTTTGCTGAGTGAAGAACTGATTTGGAGGGCCAGGCACAGAGAGTGGTGGTGAATGGAGTTAAATCCACCTGGTGACCAATCACAAGTGGTCTTCCCCAGGGGTCAGTACTGGGGCCTGTCCTGCTCGGTATCTTTACTGGTGACCTGGATGAGGGCATTGAGTGCACCTTCAGTAAGTTTGCAGATGACACCAAGTTGGCTGGATGTGTCGATCTGCCTGGGGATAGGAAAGCCCTACAGGGGCCCAGAGGAATCTGGACAGGCTGATTGATGGGCTGAGGCGAAAGGGATGAAGTTTAACAAGACTAAGTGCCAGGTCCTGCACTTTGGCCACAACAACCCCAGGCAGCACTACAGGATTGGGGCAGGAATGGCTGGAAGGCTGTGTAGAGGAAATGGATCTGGGGATACTGATCAACACTTGGTTGAACATGAGCCAGCCATGTGTTCACGTGGCCAAGAAGGCCAGTGGCATCCTGGTTTGTATCAGAAATAGCTTTTCCAGCAGGAGCAGCGAAGTGATCAATCTTCTGTACTCAGCACTGGTGAGGCTGTACCTTGAATATTGTGTTCAGTTTTGGGCCCCTCTCTACAAGGAAGACACTGAGGCCCTGGAGCATGTCCAGAGCAGGGCAATGAAGACAGAGTGGTCTGGAACACAAGTCTTATGAGGAGCAGCTGAGAGAACTGGGATTATTTAGTTTGGAGAATGGGAAACTTAAGGGTGACCTTATCACTCTCTACAGCTCCCCAAAGGGCGGTCGTGGTGAAGTAGTGAAGCTTCTTCTCCCATGTGACTAGCAACAGGACTAGAGGGAATGGCCTCAGGTTGTGCCAGGGGACATTCAGGCTGAACACAAGGAAATACTTATTCAAGAGAGGGCAGTCAGGCACTAGAATGGGCTGCCCAGGGATGAAAGGGAGTCACCAACCCTGGAGGTGTTCAAGAAACATTTAGATGTTGTACTGCGGGGCATGGTTTAGTAAGAAATATTAGTGATATGTGGATGGCTGGGCTGGATGGTCTAAGAGTTTTATTCCAACCTTGCTGATTCTATGATTCTGTGAGTCTATGGTATGGACAACCCCCTCTGTTTGAGCACTGGGGTTGTACAGATGGACCCAGTGGTTGGTTCCAACCTCAGCCATTCTTGCTTCTTTGTAACAGCTCCAAAATCAGGTATGTTAATACTACAGTAATTTAAATTAACCATTTTTTTTTTCCTGCAGAGTTCAGGAAAGCTCGTAGCAACGCAGGTAAGCCAATACTCATCTGCCATTAACCTCATGTTCTTCCATGCACATACAAATATCTACCATTCTTGCCACAAAAAATTCACAGGATATAATAATTTGGGGAAAATATTAATCCTGTTTGTTCAAACAGGCACACAGTCTTTTGTAGGCATCTTCCATTTACACTGTTCTCAAAATCATGAGTTGAAATGGATCATTTCTGTTCGTTCCATTTAAGACCTTTTTAAATGTTAAGTGGCTTCAAGAGATTCAGCTTTATGTTCAACTCAAAAAGCAAACTGAAGAGTCAGTATGAGTGCTGATGATTTAATTAAGCCACAATGAAACCAGAGAAAAGGCATGTCCCACTGTAGGTTGTTTTCCTATTGAGTTTTTGTCCCAGGAAAATACGGATACATTCCTGGTGTATAAATTTACTTATTTATTTGATTATTTTACTATTTGTCTTCTGTATGCTATTCCTTTGACATTTTTGTTTATTTCCCTGAAAATCAGAAGTAATTACTTTTTGCTTGATTTTTTTCTTTTTCAAGTTAATATCACTCTGGATCAGAAATGCAGACACCCCAACCTCTGCATTAGTAATGACAACAGGAGGGTAAAGTCCTCAAACAAGACAAAGACAGCCCTCAAAGCGATGGTGGTAGCTACCGAAGGTTTTCCAGGCAAAAAACATTACTGGGAAGTGGAGGTGGGGAACCAATCACAATGGGAGCTGGGAGTGGTGAGTGAGAAAATTAGGAATATGATAATGAACAGCACAGGGAATTCATTCCCAGAGGATAATTTATTCAGTCTACAGTATTCTCAGGGAAAATACATACTAACTGGTGGGAAGGATGTAAGTGATTGCAAACAGTGCAGAGTGGTGGGTGTTCTCCTGGATGTGGAAAATGCTGAGCTTTCATTCTACAATGTTGAAGAAATGAGCCCTCTTGGGTCTGTCTACTTTGAGTTTACTGGGAAACAATATCCATTCTTCAGTCCAGACTCGAGTGGCGAATGGCTGGGGGTACGACCTGTAAAACCACAGACCTAGGACTCTCTTCCATAGAGTGAGAAAGAGATTAATAAACGAACAGTGTGGTGAATAAGAGAGGATGCAAAAATGTAGAAGAAGAAAAGAATGTATTTTCATCTTTAAAAACTATGGTTAAGGAAGAAATAGTCCCTGAAGTACTTCAGAGGGAGTCATCTTGCTGTAAGAGCTCATTTTGTAAAAACTGAAACATATCAGACATTGCAATTGTATTTTATTCTGTCTGGAATAAGAAGAAATAAACACAAAAAACCTAAGTGCTACATATTTATTTCAGTATTTGTACTATTTACTGTATATTCATTTTCATCTAACAAACTCAGATATAGTCATTTGTAAACAACAGTTATATTCAACTGACTGAATGTGGAAGCATAATGCGTTTTGAACTCATGTATATGCAGCTAGAATTAAATGACCTAATTTGCACCTTCAATTCAAATTGTCGTTAAGCCAGCATCAAAAAACCAAACCAAAACAAAAAACTATCTAAGTCCTAATACTTCTGCTCAGTTTAAAACCCCCCTAAATAAAATTTGATTGAATAACTGGAAGAAAATCAGGACACTGAGTTAGTGACGTGGTACATGTCCAGGTACAACATGGCCCAACTACTCACAGTGATCAGTGCCTTGAAAAATTTTCCAACTGAGAAATGAAAGGCATGGAAGGGATGGGAACAACTGATGAGTGTGGTTTGAGCTGTTTTCCTGAAAATGGCTGAACATAGAATGGCTTGGGTTGGAAAGGATCTTAAAGATCATCCATGTAAGTCACTCTGAAAGTAATGCCTCCTATTTATTTCTGCAGAAACTACAACAGCTACAAAAAATAATATAACAATAACACTCTTTGATAGAGCAAATTCTCAGCTACAAAACACTATTTTTCAATATGGTCAGCATTATTAGCTTTGCATTTTTGCCAGCAATGATCAAGAGCCTTCATGCTGTGTTAATAAAATCTGCACCAGTGGAGGTGATCACTACTTCACAGCTGCTATGGAGGAGTTGTTGAAATGCATCTACTGCTTTCCTCTGCTCACATTCACCATTTGGTCTCCATAAGCATTCATCAAGTGTTGACGAATGTCAGAGAGTGCAATTTTTTCTGCATGGAGGAATTACACACCTTCACTTCATGAGCACTTCCATGTCAAATGTCATTTTGTCAGAACTGACTCTCTGCTGCCATCTGTCGCATGGAAACAGAATTGAATGGAATATTGACAGGAATGCTCAACCTCTACTGCTGTCCCACCAACACCTGCCTCTGACATTGTGGGACAACACAATAAATTGAAGACATTTCTTTAGGAGCAGCTACCTTAGTTCCAATGTCCACAGACTGATGGAAAATGATGAATTCAATCAACTATTCCCACAGTAAACTTTCTCAAAAAATCTCCAAGATAAAATCTGAATCTGAAACTTTTTCCCATGGACAGAAAACACCATGAACTTGATCACTGAGGTTAGCTGCTTTGGAGGAGCTGCCATACAGGAGGAGGGCTAGCACTTAGCACTTAACAGGTCACTTAACAGGCCGTTGCCCTCTGGACACACCAAGGTGCAGTCATGGTCACCACACAGCAGTGAGCTGCTGCTAAAAGGAATGTGGAATGTCTGTGCTCAGACAGGAAACATGAATATCCATGCCACAGTTCACGCCTCAGGCTGCAGAGAATGCCTGGCCCTGTTACTGCTACAGGAGGGCATCCGGGATACCAACTGTGTGTGGCGTGAGCAGCTGAAGGATCTGCTCAGCCTGGTGGTAGAGCTAAAGGAGGAAGTAGAAAGGCTGAGCAGCATCTGGGATTGTGGGAAGGGGATCGATTGGTGGAGTTGCACTCTGCCATCCCTACGGGAAGGGTGTGGGGGAGATGCTCCTCAAGCAGTGGGGGATCATCAGTCAGGTGGGAAGAGGCGACCTCAAAGATGAGGGATGGAAACAAGTCCCTGTTTAGGGCAGCAAGCTGACTGCCCCTCAGCCTGTATCACCTTCCCAGGTGTCCTTACATAACAGGTATGAGGCTCTGGAGCTGGAGGTACTGGGGGATGTGGATGTTGGTGAAAGTCCATCCACGCAGGAGAGGTTGCCCAAGGCTAGTCAGTCTGCTCCCTGTTTTGCTACAACATAAGTCAGGAAAAAAAGAAATGTTGTCACAGGGGACTCCCTTGTGAGGGGAACAAAGGGACTGATACGCCACTCGGATCCGTCCCAGATGGAGGTGTGTTGCCTGGGTGAGAGGTGTCACCAGGAACATCACTCTTCTCGTTAAGCCCTCTGATTATTATCCGTTACTGGTTTTCCACATTGTAAATGAAGAGGCGGGCAAAAGAAGTTCTTGGGTGATCAAAAGGGACTTTAGGGCTCTGGGAAGACTTCTGAAAGGATCAGGAGTGCAAATTGTGTTCACCTCTGTCCTCTCAGTTAGTGACTGGGATCTGCACAAAACGGACTTGCTGAACGAATGGCTTTGCGAATGGTGCCGTACTCAGGGCTCTGGGTACAATGGCTTGGGATGCAGCCTTGAGAAAGGGGAAATGCTGATGGCAGATGAGAGCCAACTGACTAGGGGCACAAATATTCTTGGGAACAAGGTGGCTGGGTTAGTTAGCAGGGCTTTAAACTAGATGTGATGGGAGAAAGGGGTGTACTAGGTGACAGAGAAGCATGTGGGAACCCTGTCACCTTGGGAGACAGTAAGGGAAAACCCCAGACTTGTTCTGGAGGTACTAGGGAGGGCTCCTCTGAGAAGGCAATGAGGCCAATAGCTAAGCTGAAGTGCCTCTATACCGATGCGCACAGCATGGGTAATAAGCAGGAGGAGATAGAAACTGTGGTGCAATTGGGAAAGTGTGGCCTAATTGCTATCACGGAAACATGGTGGGATGAATCCCATGATTGGAATACTGATTGAGGACAACAGGCTTTTCAGAAGGGATAGACAGGATAGGAGGGGTGGCGGAGTTGCCCTCTACATTAGAAGTGGATAGATTGTGAAGAGCTGTGTCTGAGGAACAGCCACGATTAGATTGAGAGCTTGTGGATAAAAATCAAGGATCAGTCCAGCAAAGGGCATGTAGTGGTTGGGGTCTGCTACAGACCACCTGATCAGGAGGCCTGTTGATGAGGCCTTCTTGCTTCAGCTGCAGGAGGTGTCGTGCTCGCGGGCTCTTGTCCTGATGGGGGATTTCAACCACCCAGATACTTGCTGGGATAGCAGCGTGGCAGGTGGCAGACAATCCAGGAGATTCCTGGAGTCTGTTGAGGATAACTTCCTGGTCCATGTAGTAGATGGATCAACTCGAGGTGAAGCCTCACTGGACCTGGTGCTCACTAGTGCAGAGGAGAGCATTAGGGAGGTTAAGGCTGGAGGCAGCCTGGGCTGTAGCGACCATGCCTTGGTGAAGTTTGTGATCTTGAGAAATGTGGGCCTGGCAAAAAGCAGAGCTAGGACCCTGTGCTTTAGGAGAGCAAACTTCTGGCTGCTCAAGAACTGCTGAGTGGGATCCCCTAGGAAACTGTCCTTAAGGGCATGGGCAGCTCTTTAAGGACACCCTTTGAGAGCCCAATGGCTCTCCATCCCCCAGCAGAAGAAGTCGAGCAGGGGAGGCAGGCATCCATCGTGGCTGTGCAAGGACCTGCAGCTTAAACTGAGAGAAAAGAGGGAAATGCACAGAAAGTGGAAGCAGAGTTGTGTAGCAGATGGAGCTGAACCTGGTGAGGGATGTGAAAGATAACAAAAAGGGGTTTTACAGGTCCATAGGCAGGAAGAGACAGGCCAAGGAGAGTGTTCCCCCTCTGATGAAAGGCAACAGGGAGTTGGCTTCCTCAGACATAGAAAAAGCTGAGGTACTCAATGAGTGCTTTGCTTCTGTCTTCACAGGTGGTTAGGCTTCCCACGTCTGCAAGGACCATGAGCCTCGTGGTGAGGGTGTCATGAGTGGTTTCTGTCCCACTGTAATGGTGGAACAAGTCTGAGTCTTCCTCATGAAATTGAACGTGTTTAAGTCCATGGGGCCAGATGATATCCATGCTAGGGTTCTGAAAGAGATGCCTGATGTGGTTGCCAAGCCGCTCTCCATTGTATTTGAAAAATCATGGCTGTCTGGTGAAGTCCTGGGTGACTGGAAAAAGGGAAACATTACTCCCATTTTTAAGAAAAGGAGAAAGGAAGACCCAGGGAACTACAGGCCGGTGAGCTTTACCTCTGTGCCTGGGAAGATTATAGAGCAGATCCTCTTAGAAGCTATCTTAAGGCACATATAAGATAAAAAGGTGATTCGAGACAGCCAGCATGGCTTCACCAAGGGCAGATCGTACCTGACCAACCTGTGGCTGTCTATGATGGAGTGACGACTTTGGTGGACAGGGGGAGGGTGGTGGATGTCATCTACCTGGACTTTGTAAGACCTTTGACATGGTCTCTCACCACATCCTTCTGTATAAATTGGAGAGGTGTGGATTTGAAGGATGGACTGTTTGATGGATTAGGAATTGGCTGGCTGGACACAGCCAAAATGTTGTGATCAATGATTCTGTGTCAGGGTGGAGGCCGGTCACAACCACAGGGGTCAATATTGGAACCGGTGCTCTTCAACATCTTCATCAATGACAGACGATGGCATCAAGTTTACCCTCAGCAAGTTTGCAGAGGACACCAAGCTGAGCGGTGCAGTCAATACACTGGAAGGAAGGGAAGCCATCCAGAGGGACCTGGACAGGCTGGAGAAGTGGGCCCATGAAAACCTAATGAGGTTCAGTAAGGCTAAGCACAGGGTGCTGCACTTGGGTTGGGACAATCCCAGGTATTTATACAAACTGGTGGAAGATCTTCCAGAGAGCAGCCCTGCGGAGAAGGACTTGGGGGTCCTGGTGGATAAGAAGCTGGACATGAGCCAGCAGTGTGCGCTCGCAGCCCGGAAGGCCAAATGCATTCTGGATTGCATTAAAAAAGGGGTGGCCAGCAGGGAGAGGGAGGTGATCATCCTTCTCTACTCGGTTCTTGTGAGGCCTCTTCTGCAGTGCTGCGTCCAGGCCTGGGGCCCCCAGTACAGGAAGGACATGGAGCTCTTGGAACAGGTCCAGAGAAGGGCCACTAAGATGATCAGAGGGTTGGAGCAGCTCTCCTATGAGGAAAGGTTGAGGGAACTGGGCTTGTTTATCCTGAAGAAGAGAAGGCTCCGAGGAGACCTCACTGTGGCCTTCCAGTACCTGAAGGGAGTGAATAAACAGGAGGGGGAATGGCTGTTTACGAGTGTGGATAGTGATAAGACAAGGGGGAATAGTTTTAAACTAACACAGGGGAGGTTTCAGGATAGATATTAGGAGGAAGTTCTTCACACAGAGAGCAGTGGTGATCTGGAAGAGGTTGCTCTAGGAGGCTGTGGATGCCCCATCCCTGGAGGCATCCTGCACGTAGCAGGGGGG